AAGGTAAGAGAGTACAGCACATGCTGTTAAGGAGAATGCCTATTCATTGCTGGTGGGAGTGCAAACTGACACAATCCCTGTGGAAACCAGATATAAACCAAACAGAGAGGAAATGCCAGAGTTAAATAATGTCATAAATCAAATGGACCTAGCAGGTATCTATAGAACATTTCACCCAAACACAAAAAAATATGCCTTTTTTTCTCAGCAGCTCATGGAACTTTATCCAAAAGTGACCACATACTTGGATAAAAAGCAAGTCTCAACAGATACAAGAAAATTGAAATAACTCCCTGTATCCTATCAGACCACCATGGATTAAATCTAAATATTAACAAGAGAAATGACAGACAGTATACAAACTCATAGAAACTGAACAACTCACTACTGAATAAAAAATGGGGTGAGACAGAAATGTGAAAATAAAGACACAATATACCCAAACTTATTCAACACAATGAGAGCTAAGAGGTAAGTTCACAGCAGTAAGTGTCTATGTAAAAAAAAAACAAAAAACATGGAGAGATCTCATATTAACAACTTAACAGAACACCAGAAAGCTCTAGAACAAAAAGAAGAAATCACACCCAAAAAGAGTAGAAGGTGCTCGGCAGTGATGGCTCATGCCTTTAGTCCCAGCACTCAGGAGACAGAGGCAGACAGATCTCTGAATTCAAGGCCAGCCTGGTCTACAGAGTGAGTTCCAGAACAGCCAGGGCTACACAGAGAAACTATATCTCAAAAACCAAAATTAAAAAAACAACAAAATAAAGAGTAAAAGGTAATAAATAATCCAACTCATATATAAATAAACAACCACCAAAAAAACAGAATCAATGAAAAGAGGAGCTGGTTCTCGGAGAAAATCAGTAAGATAAATCTTTAATCAAATTAACTAAAAGATGGAAAGACAGGGAGGCTACCTGGAAAACAGGACCCCAAGAAAGACACAGGGATCGCCCAATGACAGAGAAATGGAATGAGATCTACATGAACAGCCTGGACATGAGTGAGGGTAATGAAAGGCAAGGGTTGAGGGAAAGAGAGCTTGGGGGAGCGGGAGATCCCAGCTGGATCAACAACAGAGAGGGAGAACAAGGAATAGGAGACCATGGTAAATGAAGACCACATGAGAATAGGAAGAAGCAAAGTGCTAGAGAGGCCCACAGAAATCCACAAAGATACCCACACAACAGACTGCCGGCAATGGTCGAGAGACAGCCCGATCTGACCTACTCTGGTGATGGGATGGCCAAACACCCTAATTGTTGTGCTAGAAACCTCATTCAACTACTGAGGGATCTGGATGCAGAGATCCATGACTAGGCCCCGGGTGGATCTCTGGGAGTCCAATTAGCGAGAATGAGGAGGGTTTATATGAGCGAGAATTGTTGAGACCAAGGTTGGATAAAGCACAGGGACAAATAGCCAAATGAATGGAAACACATGAACTATGAACCAATGGCTGAGGGGTCCCCACTGGATCAGGCCCTCTGAATGGGTGAGACAGTTGATTGGCTTGATCTGTTTGGGAGGCATCCAGGCAGTGGGACCAGATCTTGTGCTCATTGCATGAGTTGGCTGTTTGAAACCTGGGGCCTATGCAGGATTGTTTGGCTCGGCCTGGGAGGAGGGGACTAGACCTACCTGGACTGAGTCTACCAGGTTGACCTCAGTCTGTGGGGAAGGCTTTGCCCTGGAGGAGATGGGAATGGGGGGGGTTGGGGGGAAGGTGAGGGGGACAGGAGCGGGGAGAACAAGGGAATCCGTGGCTGATATGTAGAACTGAATTGTATTGCAAAATAAATTAAAATAAATTTAAAAAAAATTAACTAAAAGATGGAAAGAGAAGGTCCAAATTAATAAAATTGGAGACAAAAAAGGGATATCACAACAAACACCAGGGAAATTCTAAGAATCATAAGGACACACTTTAAAAATCTATATTTAACAAAATTGTAAAACCTAAAAAAAGGATAAATTTCTTGATTTATATGACCTACTAAAGTTAAATCAAGATCAAAGAAGAAATTTAAACCGATATATAATGCCTACTGAAATATAAGTAATAATTTAAAGTCCCCCCCCAAAAAAAGTCAGATGGATTCAACAAAGAATTCTACCACACCTTCAAAGAAGAATTAATGCCAGTACTCCTCAAATTGTTCTACAAAGTAGAATAACTGAAGAACACTACCTAAATCTTTTTATAAGGCCACAATTACTCAGATAACTAAATGACTCAAAACCAAACAAAGAAATTAAAGTACAGATCAATTTCTCTTAAGAACATAGGTGCAAAATTTCTCAATAAAATACTTGCAAACCAAACCCAAGAATACACCAAAAACATTATCCACCGTGATCAAGTAGGCTTCATTTCAGAGATCCTAAGATAGTTCAACACATATGAATCAATAAATAAGATCCACCACATAAGCAGATTTGTAGTTGGTTTTTGTTTTTACTCTTTTAGGTCCCACCACCCGGCTCCCAAATAAATACACAGAGAATTATTCTTGCTTATGAATGCTTGTCTTTAGCTTGGCTTCTCTCTAGCCAGCTTTTCTAAGTTAAATTATCTCTTTTCTCTTTAGCTACGTTTTGCCTCTGGGCTTTTTATCTTTCTTTCCTTCTTAGTCCAGGGCTGGCTGTGTGGCTTGGTGGCTGGCTCCTGGAGTCCTCTTCTCCTTTTTCCTTTCTTGATCCTTCCTCTCTTCCCTAGATTTCTCCTCCTATTTATTCTCTCTGCATGCCAGCCCAACTTATTTCTCTTTCCTGCCTAGCTATTGACCGTTCAGCTCTTTATTAGACCAATCAGTTGTTTTAGGCAGGCAAATTAACACAGATTTACAGAGTTAAATAATGCAACACAAAAGAATTTCACACATCTTTGCATCATTAAACAAATATACCACAGCATAAATGAATGTAACACATCTTAAAATACTATTCCACAACACAGATTGAATGTCAAAACCACATGATCATCTCATTAGCTGCAGAAAAGGCCTTTCACAAAAATTCAATATCCAATCATGACAAAAATCCTGGAGACATACAAGAAACATACTTCAACATAAATAGAGCAATATAAACCACACCCAATATCAACCTGAAAGGAGAGAAACTCAAAACATTTTCACTACAATTGGGAACAAGACAATATCTGTTTCCAACTTTTTAAGGTGGGTGACCAACTGCCATGGGTCTTAGGATTCAGTCTTTCATCAATTCAGTGTTGATGTTTGAATGGATTATCAGAAGTATTCTCTGCTCATCTTGAACCAAGTAAGGTTTTCTAAGCTCAAGAGCATTCCTTCTGTAAAGTTAGATGATTTTCACAGCCAGTTTTATGGAATCTGGAAGGAGGTGGTCAGGTCAACTGGTGCTTGTGGAGTTGATTGTGAGCCTAGGATTCCACCAGAAAAGGAGCCATAGGATGGAGCCATAAGGCAGACAGGGGATAGACTGTAGGAATGGGGAAGGGAATGGTTGGAGTTACTAGTGTGGGTTTAGTGTCCCTTCCTGCAGAGGTGTGGTCCTTGAAAGGCATGGGTATTGGAGGGGTTGGGTGATAGGAGCCTAGGCTTTCTGCCTATAGATGGGAGGGCACTGGAGCTCAGCTGGGGTAGATGGGCTTAGCAGAATGATTCTAGGGACCCTCTTGAAGCAGAGGCATATGGAAGGGGTGCAGGAAGTCAGGTGTGGGACACACGGGTCCTCAGGCAGCGGTGCAGTGGTTGGAGTAGCTTGGGTTGTTTGGTGCCCCTTGCTTCAGAGGGGTGGTCTTTTAGACAAAGGAATGAGTGAGGTTTGTGGAGCAAGTCTACTGTTTCTATGTTGAGAAGAAGCCAGTGGTGTGCACAGCAGGGGGTGAGGGGTGCTGGAAGGACCAGGTATAGTTGGTGGCTGGAACCTAGGTTTCCTGCCTATGGATGAGGGAAAGGGCACTTGGCAGAGATAGATGGAGTTAGCGGCATGAAGCCAGGGGTCCTATCTGTAGGAGGAGTTCTGGAAGGAGTGCCAGAAGGCAGGAGTCAGTCATCCAGTTATGGTGGCTGTATTAATTTTCTATTGCTGCGATTAAAACACCATAAGTCAACTTACAGGAGAAAGAATTTCTTTGGATTTGTGGTTCCAGGAGGGATAAGAGTCTATTCATGATGAGAGGTAGGACAGGAAACTGCAGGCATGATGACCGTAACTGGGAGTTCACATCTTGAAGTACAAGCAAGAAAGCAAAGAGAGTCAACTGGAAGTGGTTGAAGGGTTATTTTTTTACTCTCAAAACCTGTCTCCAGTGATGTATTTTCTCCACAAGGCCACACCTCCTAACCCACTTCAAACAGAACCATCAACTAGAACTAAGTGTTCAAGGACGGGGAGCCTCTGGGGACATTCTCATGCAAACTCCCACTGTGGCACATGCGGGTAGGAGACACTGAAGATGTGCTGGCAGGAGGATCATGAGTCCATTAATATATTTTTTAAAGAATTTGCATGATTTGTCTCTTGTCCAGTTTGGTACGTTACATATCTATATATTTTTTAGGGTTTCCCTTTGTAAACTAGGCTAGCTTTGAACTTGTGATTACTCTGCAGCAGCCTCCCAAATGCTGCGATTACAAGCATGCACTATGATGACTGGCTTTAAATTGTTTGTTTTTGCTGAATTTCTTACTCTTATTTTTTGTGTGTATATGCTAAATCACATGTTTTTAAAATGTTTTATTTTATATATGTAAGTGTTTTGCCTGCAGGTATGTATGTATATCACGTGTATGCCTAGTTTCTGAGGAGGCCGGAAGATGATGTCAGATCCCTGGGGAACTGAAGTTACAGACAGTTTGTAAGCTGCCGTTGTGGTTACTGGGAACTGAATGCAGGTCCCCTGCAAGAGCAGCAAGTGCTCTTAGCATTGAGCCATGTCTCCAGCTCCCATGTTTTGCTTTCTAATAACAATTTTGCTGATTTCTGCTTTTCATAATTTAACTCAGGTGTAATGTCTTTGCTGAGGCCTCTTCTTCTGGATGTGGTCCCAACAATTCAACAGACTGCTGCTTTGGCTCTGGGGAGATTGGCCAATTACAACGATGACTTAGCAGAAGCAGTTGTGAAGGGCGACATTCTTCCACAGCTTGTTTATTCATTGGCAGAACAAAATGTAAGAATTTTTCAAAAAGATTTATGCAGTTTTGGTTTTTAGATAAAAATCCGACAATTTGGGCACAATTGTGGCTTTGAAGGCCTTGGAATTGATTATATTATTTTGATTTGGGTGTGGTAGGCAGCTTCTTTCCACCGTTGTTAGTTTATGGGGGACTACGTAAAAGGATTTTCGCAGGGCATGCATTAAGGAGTATGTGTATACGTGGGAGCTTTGAACAGAGCTATAGGAGCTGTCTGAGGGGGGAGAGAGTGTAAAGACCCTAGGCAAATAAACTTTCTCCCATCCTTATATGTAAGTGGTTAGTGGCAAGAGTAAGTCCTGAAGGGAGAAAACACCTTTAATGAAAAGGTTTGATAAGCATTTTTACTAGGCAGACAAACATTTCAAGTCTTTAAATGTGCCCCTCTCTCCTCCCCTCTGAAAGTGTCCCACCCCCACCCCATATGATGCAGCTTTTTTCTCCACAGTGTTGCCGGTTTAGTTTATACAGTAGTTGAGAACTTTAAGCATTTTCAGACTGGTCCATTACACTCTGTTAGTTTATCATAACCTAAGTATGACATCATCTTTTCTTGACATCTTTAAGACTAAATTCCTACTTGCATAATGAAACACAGCTCAACTGAAAACTGGGCAAAGGACTTGAATATTTTCTTAAAGAAAACCTTTAAGTAGTCAATAAGCATGTGGAAAAGGAGTCTCACGGGTACTAGCAATTAAAATCTATAAATCAAAACCCACAATGAGATGGCATCCTTTATCTGCTAAGATGAAACATAATGAAAAATAAAAAAAAAAAGGGAAATAATGTAACAATGAGGAAAAATTGAAACCATCATGTACTGGCAGGCATATAAAATGGCATAATTTCTGTGACAAACCATTTGGCAACATACAATAAGATCAATGTGTTTACCATCGGATGCGGCAATTTCCTTCCCATTGTACATCCCAGAGCACTAAACTGTTGTGGCACATGTTCAGACAGCACTACTCAGCATTGTGTGGAAGCATCCCAAAGCCACCAACACATGAATAGTTACACAAAGTGCTGTGGTCTATACAAACAGAAATGAAGCACTGATAAATCTGATTTGTGATTGTCAAAACCATTTTGTTGGGGGCTGTGAAAAGATGGGTTCAATGGTTTAAGACCACATTCTCCTCTTACAGAAGACCTAAGTTTGGTTCTTAGCACCCATGTCATGTGGCTCACAAACCCCTGTAATGCCAGCTCCAGCAAATCTATAACTCTGTCCTCCACAGGCACCTACATGTACACACAAACATGTACACACATATACATAAAAAGTCCTCTAAAATCCCTCTAAATCTTTAAAAATGAGAAAGTAGAAATAAAAAAAGAAAAAAAAAAAACCCACCAAGTGAGAGATGCCAGACCGAAAAGCTATATGTTATACAATCCATTTATACAAAATGCCTCAAACATGCAAATTCATAGAGAGGAGAAGCAGATCAGTGGTTCCAGGGGCCAGGCGAAGTGGGGGAGTAGGAAAGGACTGCTTTGAGTCTCTGAATCAAGAACAAAGGAGATTGTGGTGATGTGACTATGAGCATTGATTTATAACTTTAACATGAAAAAGGAAGTTTTTATGATCTATTTTACGAGAGAAAACACCATAATTGTGCAAATAAACTGATTTACTGTTTAGATTTGAGAGTCATTTACTAATGTCCTTTGCTCAGAAATCACAAGCTTTCACTTTCCTACGCATGTCCCCTTCAGTAGCTACCCTTCTGCTTTTCTGCCTCCAGGACTCTTGCTCTCCCTCTTGGGCGGCAGTCTCTGTGGTTTCATAGTCCCATTTAAAAGGTTTCAGAAGTTTTCTGGTTATGAGTTAATCTCTACTAACTATAAAGAGACAGGTAGTTCTAGGCGGAGAAGTGAGGGTAGCAAGAGTGAACAGCACGTCTCCTCCGTCCAGCCATCAGCCTGGGTCACTTCTCCTGAGATTTCACCTTTTTTTTAAAAGTAGGTACAAAGTTGCTGGGGCAGTGGTGGCGCACGCCTTTAATCCCAGCACTCGGGAGGCAGAGCCAGGCGGATCTCTGTGAGTTCGAGGCCAGCCTGGGCTACAGAGTGAGATCCAGGAAAGGGCGCAAAGCTACACAGAGAAGAGAACCCTGTCTCGAACCCCCCCCCCCAAAAAAAAAGGTACATATGGGTTTTGCTTCACCTAGAAAAAGAATCTGCTCACCTTTTCTTTTTTCACTTAAAACTGTTTACTTTCATACCACAGTGTTAGCTTTCACTAGGACATTTTCAGTTTTGTTGGTTCTCATCTTCTTCTCACTGTCTTCTCACGGTGGGAAGTACTTTCCATCTGACTCCGTGACCTGACCTACTTTTATGTTACTTCTGCCTGATTGGTCTCTCACTCTCTTTCCTTTTTTCATATCTGTAATCACAGTTTCTCCCATGTACGTATGCATTATAAACACTGTAAGCCAGGATCTGCATGTGAGACCAGATGTGTGGCTTTTGTCTGCATCTTTTAAAAAAATTCTCATTAATTATGTGAGAATATCATACAACGTATTTTGATCATATTCAACCCTTTCCTCTAAACTCCTCCCCATTCAAACACACCACCTCAACATTCCTAACTCAAATAAAACTTCGAGGTTTCTTCATTTTTATGCCCATCAAGTCCAGGTTGTTGTCACCCCACCACGCCTGGGAGTGAGGGCCTGCTCCAGTACACGATTGGCCCATCCAGGGATCACATCATTAAAAAGCTGATTCTCTTTCTCGAACAGCTGTCAAATCAGTAGCTCCTTAGCTAGTTTTGCACTGGGAATTTTGTGTCCACTTTCCTCCCTCCGTGCTGGAGTTACTGACCAGCTTGAGCTTGCACAGACATTGTGTGTGTTTCACAGCCCTGTGAGCTCATTAGTGCAACTGCCTTGTTGTGTCTGGAAAACGGTTTTGTCCTTGATGTTATCTACAACCTCTGGCTCTTGCACCTTTTCTTCCACTTCTTCCGTGAAGACCCCCACAGTGTTGGGGGTGGGGTATGACATGGGCATCCCATTTAGGGCTGAACCAATCTATCCCTCTCCTATTCTCTTCATTGACCAGCTAAGGGGCTCTGTGTTGTCATTTACTTTGAGGAGAAGTTTCCTCTGATGAGAGTTTAGAGATGCACTGATCTATGTGTATAGCAATAAGTCCTTAGGGGGTCATTCAAATAATATGTCTATTTATCAGAATAATACTTTTGGATACTCCCCTAAGGGCCTATGACCTATCTAGCCATAGGTTTTTGTCTCCTTTCACAGTGTCAGGTTTGGGTTCTTTCTCATGGAACAGGTTTAAATCCAATCAGAAAGTGGTTGATTACTTCCATAACATTCATGCCAGTGTATCAACACCCAGCATATTTTGTTAGGTCAGTCACTTTGTATCCTACAAGAATGATTACTTTTCTCATATAGGAACTTCCATATCACCTTCAAGCACTATGAGAACCAGCCAGTAGGGATGAAGATTCCAAGTGAGAACCAGATTGATTTCCCTATGTTCTATAACTTAAGTATGCTGAAAGCAATAGGGTTTTCTCATCAATTTCTGGAGGGTAGCTAAGAGTATTGCAATACCTTGCAATGCCTGTAGATTTATGCTAGCCCACAGGGCAACAACCCTAAAAGAGGTAACCAGTTCCTGGTACTGGGTCTTAATTTGCTGGCATGAAGTGTCTAGTTAGGGTATTGTCCCCCTGCTGTAGCATATCTCCATGAAAAAACTCTTTAATATATATATATATATATCCCTCTGTGTGTGTTGTGGGATATTTGATTACACTGTGATCTTCGAGGATTGTATTATTTAAATAAAATCAACCATAGGTCAAGAGGTGGAGCAAGCAACCAGTTGACTGGAAGTAACCATAGAGTGAGGGAAACTGGAAGGGTGGAGAGAGAGACACACACAGAAAGTAGAAGGGAGGGATGTCTGGTTGGAGGAATTTTGTTTCAGATGGCTTAGGAGAGAGCCTTCTTTCTGATATGGTGGCAGAGGAGGAATGTCAGCTGGCTGCTTACTCTGCTTCTCTGAGCTCCCGAGTCTTTATTGGTAAAATAAAAAGATACTTAGTTAAAATGCCATTTGCCTCCCTCCATGGCTGAGGCCAGTGGGGCAGTGGGAATGCGAAGGCTCCCCCAGGCTGTGACCCTCAGCAGCAAGGCAGCAGTGGCTGCAGAGGCACAGTCAGCAGCTGAGGTAGTGGATGGAGTCAAGTGCAGCGCTGTGCCACTGATAAAAAACAGCATTTATGTATATATTTAGGAAGCTTCAGTAGTAATGAATTTCCATATGGGTTTTCAAAAGGCCTTTACGTGGTTAGTTATCCTTCTCTGTATTATCTTCTCTACTCTGCCCTGCCACCCACACCCCAACTTACCCCTTTCTGTTTCATAATTCCCTTTAACTCCTTCATACTAGTGCATTCTATCACCTCTGCCACCTGATTACAATGGGTGTTCCAAATGAAGTTCACATATTTGAAGATCCAATTCTAACATCCTTGAATGAGGAAGTGTGTGATATTTGTCTTTCTGAGACTGGATTGCCTCACTCAGGAATATTGTTTCTAGCTTTATTCTTTTATATTTGAATTTCATTTTTCTTAACAGCTAAATAATAATTCCATTGTGTATAAATGAACACTTTTTTGTTCATTCATCAGTTGATGGACATCTAGGTGATTTCTATTTTCTGGCTATTGTGAATAGAAAAGTAACAAATATGGATGAGCAAGTGTCTTTGTAGTAGGTTTGTAGAGTTATATGCCCAAAAGTAGTATAGCTGGATCGTGTGTGGTAGATTCATTTTACTTTTTTGGGGAAAACTTCACACTGATTTCCATAGTTTGTTGTACCCCGTTTCACTCCCACCATCAGTGAAGCATTTGTTTCCCTTTCTGAAGATCCATGCCAGCATCTGCTGTCATGTTTTATTAATCTTGGACATT